AAACTACTTGTCAGCAAATAGCACTTTGTCACTGAAATCACTAACACCCTCTAGAGGAATGTCTCTGTATTGAGCAATTTAATTTTACTTTATTTAATTTTTACACATTACAACCTGTGTTCATTCAGGCACGTTGAAGGCTTGCAGTCTGCTAAAGCAGGGTGCGGGTGTCCCTGTTAGTAAAATATACTATATCTTATTTAACAATCCCCATGGCTTAATTGAAGCTCTCTCTTGTCCCTCAGAAAAGGAACTGCAGATGTTCTTATTATGTAGTTATGCTGCTAATGTGAAAAACTGCCTCATTACGAGGATCTGTTTGTAGCTAGAAAATTACTGCATTATGACAAATGCATGATTGGGAAGTTACAGGAAGATGATCATTATTGAAATGAAACTGGAACTCATTTAATAGCTGGAACCAGCAGCTGGAATGAAGCAAATGAATGTCTTCCTGTTTTTATTATTGCAGGCAGGTTTTTCAGCCTGAAAGAATATTTGTGCCAAATCAGAGGGACGTGGGGGTCTACCTCCCCCCGGCCACACGCTCACCGAAGGGGAGTGGGGTTGTTAGTGCTAAAAAATGCTCCCACCCCGCGCTCGCTCCTTCTCTCCACGTGCTCGATGACTCTGGCTTTGCAACACGGCCGTGGATCCCAACACCATCACCTTATAAAAGTACTCGAGTGTCTGTCAGACCCCTGGGTCCACTCACCTCTCCTACAGGTCTCGGTTGTGTTGCACCAGTCAGGATGTCACTGTCCTGATTGAACGGTGTGGGAGTGGTGACCTGTCTCCTCCTGTCCTCCTCCTGTCCTCCTCCAGCTCCTGGCCATGCCTGGCTTTTCAGGATGGTTTTTTGGGGGGGAGCTCAAAGGGTTGGGTGGATACAAGGAGTGTGGTGAAATGGAAAGCTGAGAGTTGGGGTTGTTCAGCCTGGAGAAGAGAAGGCTCCAAGGAGACCTTATGGTGATCTTTCAATACTAGAAGGGGGCCTATGAGAAAGATGGAGACAAACTTTTTAGCAGGACCTGTTGTGATAGGACAAGTCATGATGGTTTTAAACTAAAAGAGGGGAGATTTAGACTAGATGTAAGGAAGGAATTTTTTACAATGAGGGTGGTGAAACCCTGTCCCAGGTTGCCCAGAGAGATGGTAGAAGCCCCATCCCTGAAAACATTCAGGGTCAGGTTGGACGGGGCTGTGAGCAACCTGGTCTGGTTGGAGATGTCCCTGCTCACTGCAGAGGGTTGGACTAGGTGGCCTTTAAAGGTCCCTTCCCACCCAAACCAGCCTGTGATTCTATTCTATGATTTATAGCTATTAGAGATAGTGCCCAACCAAAGTCCTCGCTTCTCTCCCCTTTGACCACGTTTGGCCAGAGGACGGTGGGTGCTGAAGTGGAGGTGCCCGCTGGACTCCTGGCTACCATGCCTGGCTCCCACGGCGTGACACAGCAGCGGGATGGTTTGCAAGTCTGCTGTGTCCTCTCAGTGGGGTTGGCTCCCGAGAAACCCTCTGCCCAAAAGTCTCCCAAACGCCAGATGAACAATTGGAAGAAATCTTGGTGTTCCTCTAATGCCTTTAATGAATCGGTGGCTTAATTTAATTAGGTATCCTCCTTAATGGATGTGGTATTCATGTCTAATAAAATACTTATACACAATTTTGGATATTAGATATTAATACAGACCTTGAGGCAGGAAGAGCTGACAAAGAAGGTTAAGCCATCAAAATGAAAAC